TAAAGACAATTCCAGCAATCAAGCAATATAGTTCAAATTACCTAACTACTCAAGACAGTGAATCTGTGCACACACAAACAGGGCCAAATGTAGTCCAGAAGCATATTTTAAGAATCCTCAGAGAGCATCTTTTTCATGGCTACAGTATTCCACAGGAAAAACTCTATATTTAGGTCTGCATTATGTAAATAAGATAATTCAAGCATAGCAAAGCCTAAAAGACAAATATTAGGTTTCAAGTATCTAAAGTTACTAAATGAGTAACAGTAACCATCTGTTTCCACAGAGGGCCAAACAAGAAACACACTGAATCTATAACATGAAGAATGTAGCTTATATAAGAATTTTTTTTTTTTTTTTACAGTGAAGGTTAATTCTGGGAATAACAAATCTTGACAATCAAGAATTGCTTTCTCTGAAAAAAAACTTTTAATAAAATAAGAGACTCGACTGCCTTGATGGGTTAAGTATAATCTGTGTTCAGTACAGGACGACTTGATTAAATTATCTTCAACAAGACTGTATCCCCAAGATTTCAATTTGTTTGTCTAGAGTTCAAAAAGAAGTTCCAGTACAAAAACAAGTAAAATTCATAGGGAATATACATATCTCATAGCTCTTGAGCTTGACGCCAAAGGTTTCTAAGATGCTTAAATCTACAGGACAACTTTAAATAGAAAATTTACTTAGTCCAACTATAAGAATATTAACTGTCAGAATACTGGTTAAAAAATGAAAATTTACTTAACAAACATGTTTTATTACAGTTGAAAAGTACCTTTTTCCCCCTAACTTCCGTGTTTGTTGCTTATGCAGTTTCAAAATCAACCAGGTATAAAGTAGATCTTTATTTCAACAACTTTCTCTGCCATTTCATCACTTTCAACTCTTAAGGGTGTGAGTCAGAGGGGTGGGATAAACTTTGCACATAATTTTAGACAATAAGCAGTATTTCATTTTGTTCAACAGTTTTCCTCAATTGAAAAGCAACTTAATTGTAGAGGCATGGTTAAAAATAGCATTCAATGAAATATCAAGCACTCATTGTTTGGCTATAATAATCTTTAAAATTTTACACATGCAAAACGTTTTATATGTAATTAAAACCCATTTATATGTAATTAAAACATATTTTGCACGTGTGAAATTTTAAAGATTGTATCTTTATAGTTATTGTAATAATGAAAGATTATTAACTAGCAATAATTGTAAAGATATATGAAATGGAAAAAGGACAGGTAGCACATTAATGAAAGCTGTATTCACACTAGGATTGTGGACAATTGTTTTTACAACTAAAAAAGAAATGGGCTGGGCACGGTGGCTCATGCCTGTAATCTCAGCACTCTGGGAGGCCAGAGTGGGTGGATCACCCGATATCAGGAGTTCGAGACCAGCCTGACCAACTGGTGAAACGCCGTCTCTACTAAAAATGCAAATATTAGCCAGGTGTGGTGGTGGGTGCCTATAGTCCCAGCTACTTGGGAGGCTGAGACAGAAGAATTGCTTGAACCTGGGAGGCAGAGGTGGCAGTGAGCCGAAATCAGGCCACTGCACTTCAGTCTGGGCGACAGAGCAAGTCTCCGTCTCAAAAAACAAAATAAAACAAAACAAAACAAAAAAACGAGTTTCTCCTTTTCCTCCAAAGATCTTAGTGCGGTGACACTACCAGGAGTATGAGTTGTGGAAAACTAAACCGAAGTTTGGCTGGGTATGTGATGAATAAGGCAGATTTAAAAGTTCCAAGCAAAGAGGTTCTCAAAGGGAGAAGGTAAAGCAATAAAGATTCTTTATATTTTCTGACTATCCTCTAAGGTTTGGATTGTAAGAAAAAGTAATTTAAATCTGTAACTGAGTACCTGCAACTTAATTTTAAATTCACCAGAAAATAAAACAGGTTGATAACAGATAGATACATGGTAATCCAAGTATAGCAAAATGTTAATTACAGAATCTAAGTGATAGATACTTAGGTATTCACTGTAAAATTCTTTTTTCTTTTTCTTTTTTTTTTTTTTTTGCTTATTAAACATTTTTTATAATAAGACAGAAAAAAAATCTAGTCTAAGGCAGACATACTTCAAGAGAAAACAAAATAAATTTGCAGACTACTCTGGAAGCTTTTATAGGTACATAAAAATATTAAAGTGGTTGGATTTTATGAAAATCAGCTTGGATTATAAGATTTGAATACTATTCCACTAAAAAATGGTTTTATGGGCTGGGCGCGGTGGCTCATGTCTGCAATCCAAGTACTTTGGGAAGCCAAGGTGGGTGGATTGCCTGAAGTCAGGAGTTTGAGACCAGCCTGGCCAACACAGTGAAATCTCGTCTCTACTAAATATTAAAAAAAATTAGCTGGACGTGGTGGCAAGTGCCTGTAATCCCAGCTACTGGGGAGGCTGAGGCAGGAGAATCATTTGAACCTGGGAGGCCGAGGTTGCAGTAAGCTGAGATTGCGTCATTATACTCCAGCCTGGGCAACAAGATTGAAACTCCATCTTAAAAAAAAAAAAAAAAAGGTTTTCTCACTGGGCATGGTGGCTCACATCTGTAATCTCAGCACTTTGGGAGGCTGAGGCAGGCAGATCACTTGAGCCTAGGAGTTGAAGACCAGTCTGGGCAATATGGGAAGACCTCGTCTCTACAAAAAAAAAAAAAAAAGTTAGCCATGTGTGGTGGTGTGCATCTGCAGTCCCAGCTATTTAGGGAAGGATCACTTGATCCCGAGAGGTTGAAGCCACAGTGAGCCATGATTGCCCCACTGCACTCCAACCTGGGTGACACAGTGAGGCCCTATCTCAAAAAAAGTTTTTTTATCTCCTATGCAGAGTTACAAATCCTGCAGTATAGCTAGTCTCCAAAGATGAACCCCCAATGGACCACGCCTATCAGGTGTCATGCTCTTGTGCAGTTCTCTCCTTTGAATCTAGGCTGGCCTTGTGTCTTGCTTTTTCATCAATAGAAGTTGTGTAACTTCCAAGACTAGATATCAGTAAGTCTTGCAGAATCTAAGACTGTTTTCCTGGAATACTTTCTCCAGGAGTATGGAGCCGCCCTTTAGCACTTTGGGAGGCCAAGGCGGGTGGATCACGAGGTCAAGAGATTGAGACCATCCTGGTCAACATGGTGAAACCCCATCTCTGCTAAAAATACAAAAAATTAGCTGGGCATGGTGGTGCGTGCCTGTAATCCCAGCTACTCAGGAGGCTGAGGCAGGAGAATTGCCTGAACCCAGGAGGCGGAGGTTGCGGTGAGCCGAGATCGCGCCATTGCACTCCAGCCTGGGTAACAAGAGCGAAACTCCGTCTCAAAAAAAAAAAAAGAAGTCCAACTACTCTGAGCCACCATACCAGAGGCCACAAATATGTATTCAGTTTGATAGTCCCAGCTAAGCCTACCCTTCCAGCCATCCTGGCCAATGCACCAGACACGCAAAAGGTACGACCCTCTAGCTGCTTATCACCATGTGACCTTAGTGGAAAATAAGAATTGCCTAGCCAAGCCCTGCCCAAATTCTTCACCCACAATAATGTTCGATATAACAACAAAATTATTAAGCACTAAGTTTTAGGTGTTTGGTTTTAACCAGAATACATCAGTAAATGTATATATTTAGCCCAGTAAATATTTAGCCCAAATCCTTCATTTTTATCAATTTGTTTATTTTCAATGAATTTAAAAAATGGAAAAAAAAAAAAACAAAAAACCTGCTATAAATGCTAGGCTAAGTAGGTGAGAAAGAAAACATAGAAGAAAAAGCTACATAATTGGGAATAACTGCCTAGCCTATTCAAATATACAAACTCCTTACAATAAAAACTCAGGTAAGTATCAAGTAACAGTCCATTTTTTAAAACATTAAATTTTTATATTTTGGATATTTATATACGAGTAAATGTATTAGATATAAATTTTTTCTACTTCAGTTCATACTGAATCCACTACCTGATATTTTGTCAGTGATCTGTGACTCTCACCCAAGTTGCTGTCTTAATAAAAAGTTAACAGAGAAAGGACTGAATTTCAAACAGTAAAATGTTTTAAGCTTCTAAATTTTGGTTTTCATTGGCTTGTTAGGAAAAATTGGGGGATCACAAACCATATGTGTTACCCACCATTTACTGTAATATTTGATATATACAATAAGACAAAGTTTTCTGGTTACACACATAATAGGTACTCAGTAACTACTGATGAAATGAATTTTAAAATCGTACACATTCCGCTTATAAATTATAATTGCATAAAAGAAACTGATGTATCTAAACAACAGTCATCAATATCCTTAATTTTATACAAGTTTTAAGAAAACACAAAAGTACTTTGTAGCCAGTTCTAAAACATAAATTTAAACTGTTCTTGTATCTTTCCTAGACCTAAAAATTTAAAAAATTACTACCCTTATGTTTTCCATGCTATTAAAACTATTAGAAAATTATTCCTGTTTTCTAGTCAAGGAAGCAAGGCAAGATTCATATGGCTGCTGGGGAAAAGAAAAAAAAAAAGGGAGACGATAGGCTAACAAAGTTGAAGCATACATTTGCAATCTGAAAGCTCCTTTAAACAGTATATAAAAGTATGCAACGGAAAGATTCAATCCCTAAAGATTTTTAAACTACCAGAATTTCTTAACCCTAATGAAGTTCATTTTATCTTTTTTTTTTTTTTCTTTATAGTTAGTTCAACAGGAGACTGGGTAAATGGACTATAATATATTCATAAAACTCCACATAGCTATGAAAATGAACTAGAACTACACAAATTGTACAGACATAATACTGAGCAAAAGAAGCCAGACATAAGAAGCCATACTGTGTGATTCCAAAACCAGCCAAAACTAACGTATGGTGTTAGAAGTCAAGAGAGTGGTCACCTTTAGATTGGAGGGGGAGTAGTGATCAGAAGGCATCACAAAGGAGCTTCTGGGATTCTGTAATGTTTTGTGATCTACATTTTACTAGTTATCATTACTATAGTTTTTCTGCATGTATGCTAGACTTCAATTAAAAGCTTACATTTTTTAAAAAGTGGGGGCAAAGCTATAAGATTATTTTTACAACTGAAGCAGAGGTATTCCAATATTTCAGTCATTCTTGATACTATGTTACACTAATATGCTCATTTTTTTTGCAGAACCATGGCGCAAAATGATGTAATTTTGGAAAGTGGCTTAGAGATCACATAAGCCAAATGAGAACACAAAAACTGACTTCCAAGATTACATAACACAGGGCAGAGCCAGGACTGGAATACAGGCTTTCAGACTCCTAGTTAAGTGCTTTATCACTACACAATACTGCCAATTCCTTTTTCTCTAGTCGTTACTTTTAAGATATTCACAGGTATATTTTTATATTCTCACGCCCTATGCAATAAATGGTACTATGGTGCCCTGGGAGAAACACTGGAAAATGTGATAATGATAGGGAAATGCATGAAGGGGACTATCTGCCTTACTGTAGTACTGAATAATGTGGACACACAGTATTTGTGGGTGTCATGCCATTTTATCTGTTAACTGGATAGAAAAAAATATCTAAATTAAAAGAAATTGAGAAAGAATTTTAGCAGTGACTGAGGAATGGAAAGTTTTTAAAATGGTCTCAAACATTAACAAAATATTGTATTTCATGCAATGAAACATGTATTGCTAAAAAAAAAAATCTACTTCAGATTCTACTTTTAATGTATTTCCCTTTCTTTAAAACGCTGAAGGAATTAAGTAAAAAAAAAAAAAAAAAAAACATAAAAATTTTTTTTTCTTGTTTTGTTTTGAGACAATCTCAATCTGTCACCCAGGCTGGAGTGCAATAGCGCAATCTAAGCTCACTCCAAAGACCACCTTGTGAGTTCAAGCGCTTCTCCTGCCTCAGCTTCCTGAGTAGCTGGGATTACAGGTGCTGGCCACCATGCCCAGATAATTTTTGTATTTTTAGTAGAGATGGTGTTTCATCATGTTGGTCAGGCTGGTCTCAAACTCCTGACCTTGTGATCTGACCGCCTGGGCCTCCCACGTGCTGAGATTACAGGCGTGAGCCACCACACCCAGCTAAGTAAAAATTTTTAAATGGTTATTAAAATATGGAAGTATAATATTTAATTCATTAAAGGTTACATTAAATATACACTAGTTCAAATGTCAAACAGCATGCATTACTTTGAAAGTAAAATATAAATTAGGAATTTAAAACCAACAACAAAAACACTTTTCATCTTAACAGATGATCAAAAAAATCTCCAAAATAGTTGAGTTCCACAAGCCTTAAAGAAAGTCATTATATGTATTTACATACAATTTGAAAGTGGGGGCCAGGCACAGTAGCTCACACCTGTAATCCCAGCACCTTAGGGGGCTGAGACAGGCGGATCAGCTGAGGTCAGGAGTTCGAGACTTGCCTGGCCAACATGGCAAAACCCCGTCTCTACTAAAAATGTAAAAATTAGCCAGGCCCAGTGGCGCGTACCTATAGTCCCAGCTACTCAGAAGGCTGAGGCACGAGAATCACTATCACTTGAACCTGGGAGGGAGAGGTTGCGGTCAGCCAAAATAGCGTCAATACACCAGCCTGGGTGACAAAGTGAAACTCTGTCTCAAAAAAAAAGAAGAGAAGAGAAAAAGAAAAAGAAAAGAAAAGAAGAGAAGAAATAAGTGGGTTATTTTGTGTCTGGGAAGAAAATACTACGTTTGCTGACAAAGTTTGCATTACCCACCAAGACAAGGGATAAATCTTATCCTACTTACAACATTGGCAACACAACTATGCAGTAACAGGAAAAAAGTCACACAACTTAAATGTCACTGTTTCAATAAAAAAGTATGTAACCTTCCTGGAAGGATAAAGGTTTCAACCTCTCTAATCACATTTTATTTGCAGGTTTAAAACATCCAAGTCCTTTCATAATTAGAACTGACCACTTTTAAGAATATCACTTAAAGTGACATTCTTTAAAGTGCTTTAAAGTGAGTGACTTGAAAGCACTTTAAAGCAGTGACTTGAAACCTTATTACAAACTACAGAGGGGACCAGTCCACGTTCAGACACTTTCCAATTACTCCAGTTTATGGCAACACAAGATTCCACCCAAGCCAATTTCTTCACTGTTCTGTAGGTAATGCTCATTTAGTCTCTGAAGAGAAATGACTTCACTCCCTACCCAATATCCTGCCTTCAGGGTCTGCTATGGTTTTAACTTCCCAAAAGTTCTTCCTTTTATTCTATTCAACACAGAATCCTTCCTTTCCTAAACTCATATAAGCCTCACACCCATACCACTTTGTACTTAACACACAGGAGTATATGACTGATATTTTTTTCAACCATGCTTACAGGCTTAACAAAATCCAATTGTATGCCCCTTCATGACAGAAGACCTTATTTCATACTTCTATGTGTTCCACACTATCTACTGTGGTAGGTACGCCAAGCACATTACAGGTGTTTCAACCAATGTTAAAGCAAATACTTAAGAGAGTTATAGATGCAAAGGAAACAAGATGCTCCAGTGAAGTGTATAAGAGACAGAAGATTACATGGACCTTCTGATTTCTTTGAGAAGAAAGTCTCAGTTTCTAATACCTCTCTAACATTTTGCTAATGTTTAAACATAACCAACTTTTAAGATAAACACAAGTATTTTCCATAAACTGATTTTCTATCTACTCAGTGGTATAAAATTTAATCTTAAAATAAATATCTAAAGACTAAATCAGTCTATAGTGCCAGAAGGTAAGGAAGTTCTCAAAAAGTTTTTTTCTTATTTTTAAAAAGGTATGAATATGTCAAAGAAACATAGAAGCCAACCTATGGCCAAAGCTGGAACAATCTAAACAACAAAATAAATAAAACAGTACTGGATCTTAACTCAAAGTACAAAATATCCATGAGTCCATACTGAAATAAATAAATGACTGAAAAAATTATCTAAGGGAGCAGAAGAATTCTAAATAAACGTAAATACACTGTCTTCAAGGAAGTGGAGCATTAACTATCTATCTACTTCTTAAGTGTGGGCTGTGCATAGTGACTTCCTTCCAAAGAGTACAGTTCAGAAAGGGGTTGGAGAAAGTAACTTTACAAAGGAGAAACCTGACAAACAGTACCTCAGTGAAGTGAAGTGATCAAGGTCAATATCATCAATGATAAGTCATGTTGCTCAGATGTACTTCTTGTTATGATGTGATAAGGATGCTGCTTTCCCTCTGTGGTCTTCCTCCCCAAAACATCAGACAAATTCCAGCAGAGGGAAATATATCTGATACACCAATGCTGCTACAATATACCATTACTGCTCTGAAAACTGTCAAGGTATCAAAAACAAGAAAAATCTGAAAAAGTGGTCATAGCCAAGAGTCTAAGGAGACATGACAACTGAATGGGACCCTGGAACAGAAAAGGGGCACCAGGTAAAAACTAAGAAAATCTTAATAAACTATGAATTTTAGTTAATACAACATATCAGTATTGGGTTTTAAATTATAACATACCATACTAAGATATTAATAAGAGAACTTGAGTGTGTGTGGAAACTCTGTATGAGCTACTCGATATTTCTGCAAATGTAAAAACTGTTCTAAGTGAACTCTATTGGTCCATTTGTTTGGGATGGAGTTTAGCTCTTGTTGTCCAGGCTGGAGTGCAATGGCACAATCTTGGCTCACCACAACCTCCACCTCCTGTGTTCAAGTGATTCTCCTGCCTCAGCCTCCTGAGTAGCTGGGATTACAGGCACCTGCCATCACATCCAGCTAATTTTGTATTTTTAGTAGAGACAAGGTTTCTCCACACTGGTCAGTCTGGTCTCAAACTCCCCATCTCCGGTGATCTGCCAGCCTCGGCCTCCCAAAGTGCTGGGATTACCAGCAATGAGCCACTGTGCCTGGCCAGTCAACTGGTTTTTTAAAAGTCATTTAAAATAGAATTATTAAGTAAAATTATTAAATAAAATTATTAACAGTTGTAAGAGACTGGGAAAATCATAAAGGTAGTACTCAGATGACTAAAGTTTGAAAAACATTTATGAAGAAATCCTTTTTAATAAAAAGATCCAGTTAAGGTTTCACCAACTAGTTACATTATCATTTCCTCATCTATAAAATGGAAAGAATATGCCTACATTACAAGACGGCTGTGAGGATTAAATCAGATCACAAATATCTGCTTTAGAAACTGAAAAGTCCTGCACGAATAATAATCAGCACAAGAAGAAACACAACATGGTATCTTGGAAAAAAGATGGGTATTGAAGGAAAGTTAAAGTACCCTTCTGCTTTGTGGTATTTATATAAAAGGAAAGAAAACAGAAAAGTGAACATAAGTGTCTAAAAATTACTTCATGTTTTGAAACCATGTTTGTAGCTATGTAGGGCTTTGAGTAACTCCAAATAACTGCTTTTAGTATCATCTTATTAGTGATACTTTTATCTATTGTAATTTGTCATTCCTTTACAATGACATCATAATAAAGATACATTTTAAGTACTTTATTTTAAAAAGGGAAGTCTAAACTCTAGTGTCTAGTGATGGACTCTTAGGGGATAAAACCATAAGGAAATAGGAAGTGATGACCACAAAAGCTAGGAGTAGCAGACTATTTGGGAAGACAAAGACTGTAACTGGGATGGACACCAATAGGGGCTTCTGAAGTGACTCAAAGTCTATTTCTTGTTCTAGACTGTGGTTACAAGGATGTCCATTTCATAATAATTTACCAAGCTTTACATTTGTTCTATGTGGCTTTCTGTGTCTGTTTAAAAAAAAAAAAAAAAAAAAAAAAAAGCCAGGCACAGTGGTTCTCACTTGTAATCCCAACACTGGGATGCTGAGGAGGGAGGAATGATTAAAGCAAGGAGTTCAAAAACCAGCCTGGTCAAATACAGGACGTAAGTTTACAATTTAAAAATTAGCAGAGCATGGTAGCACACATCTGTATTTCCAGCTACTAGGGAGGCTGAGGTGGGAGGATCACTTGAGCCTGGGAGGTTCAGGCTGCAGTGAGCAGGGATGGAGCCACTGCACTCCAGCCTGGGTGAAAGAGCGAGACGCTGTCTCAAAAAATAAATAAATAAGAGTAGGCTTCCAAAATAAATCTATTGTAAAGAAAACATTTAACATAAAAAATTGTGAATATAAATTTTAGTTCTTTGATTATATATACAAAATGAGAACTTTAAAAAATCTGGTTCTAAATGACATAAGACAAAATTACTCAGATTCAAAGTATGTTTGAGAATGAAAATTTACCTCAAAATTTGAATACTCACTCTGCATCTACTCACCTTATGTTCTTAAACTACTGTCCTCTATTCAGAAGACGTAAGACCTTCCTCTCCCAGAGTGGCCAGGAAGAATAAATGAATAAATATGCAAACATGAGTTGAAAAAGTAGTGAACAAAAGTAATTTGAACCTGTCCACCAACGAAGACATGCAATACAAAATGTGAGTTGCTATCACAAAGTAGGCTCTCACATATTGATTTCTGACTTTCAGAAGTGTCAATACTGTAGCATACTCATATCCAAATACTGCCATTTTCAGGACTCTTGATTACCAATCTTCACTGCAACATTTATGGAAAAACTTCCTATAAGATAATGTAACTATAGGTCAAATATGACTGTCTAAAACACAGAACAATTAGGAAATCAATTACTCATCAGTAAAGCAAAGGTGAATTCGCATTCAATATTATGAATTCATATATTATGCCAAATTCAGAGACAAAAGTCACTTGTTTTTCCAACTTTAACCAATCAGAATTCAGCCAAGGTCAGAAAGTAAGCAGAAAAAGACCCTATAACAAGCCAAACTAAAACTGTATGTATAAAGACCAATTATTTTCCAGAACGTTCCTTTGGCCCTTATAAGCTGCCCATTAAGTAAGTTTATTAGAACTGGGTAGGAACCAAAATAATCTGGTTTTCCAATTCACAGCAAATAAAATACAACAAATTAAAAAGTGGTTCAGGTGGAGTTGCTAAGGTAAGCAAGAAACTGACAACTCATCCATCAATAAGAAAATCGTATTTTTAAAAGGTAACAATAAGCTGGGCGTGGTGGCTCACCCCTGTAATCCCAGCACTTTGGGAGGCCGAGGTGGGTGGATCATGAGGTCAGGAGCTCGAGACCAGCCTGACCAACATGATAAAACCCCATCTCTACTAAAAATACAAAAATTAGCCAGGCTTGGTAGCACACCTGTAATCCCAGCTACTCAGGAGCCTGAAGCAGGAGAATAGCTTGAGCCTGGGAGGCAGAAGTTGCAGTAAGCTGAGATCACGCCACTGCACTATAACCTGGGGGACAGAGCAAGACTCCAACTCAAAAAAAAAAAAAAAAGATACCAGTAAGTGAAAAAGCATTAAGGTACTAGGTCATTGAGGACAGAGGCAAACAACCCTAAGACACTTCAATTACTCTTAACATAGTAGTTACATTCTTTAAATTACTTTTTTCGAAATTAGTTTTATCTGATGTTAATATATAGTTGGAGGTTGCATGTGTATACATTGATATATTTTAGTGTTAAAGATATATACATAAGTTTTAGTTGCATTTGAAAATTACTTTTATAAAACTACAAATGATAACTGATATCAAACAGAGGAGGTGTTATACATCCAACTTAAAAATAATTTTATTTTAGAATGTAAATAATAACATTGACAGTTTTACAGAACTATTTTAAAAAATAATATATTGCTACAGTGTACTGAACATGTCTTCAGTGCCAGATGCAGTCTCATTTCATCTTACAAATCTATAAATATTAAACAAATACCCATAAAACTGCCAATATGCAACTATTTTTGACCTACCAAAAGTTATTTAAATTATTTGCAATTACAGATATAAAAATTAGCTAGAGAGAGGTTAAGCCCAAGATTATATTACCAACAAATGATAGGGTCAAAACTTGAACTCAGGATTGTCTTGATTTTTGTGTTATTCAAACTCACCAGCAATTATAATTCACTGTGATGACTTAAATTTTACTATTTACCAAAAATAACATGCATGATGCAGAGAACACATCACTTATGTAGTACACATGCCAGAATGCAAATCCTAAATCTGAACATGATGAAATACCAGACAAAACCAAATTAAGAGGCATCCTACAAAATAAATGGCTAGTAATCTTCAAAACTGTCAACATCATAAAAGGAACAAAGGCTAAAATAGGCAAAACGACTATGCATAAAAGTCGACATAAAAACTAAACGCAGGTTAGGCACAGTGGCTCACGCCTGTATCCCAACACTTTGCGAGCCCAAGGCAGGCGGACTCTTGAGGACAGGAGTTTGGGACCAGTCTGGGCCACACAGTGAAATCTCATTTGTCTGCCCAAAATTCAAAAATTAGCTGGATGCAGTGAAGCACACTTATAGTCCCAGCTGAGGTGGGAGGACTGCTTAAGCCCCAAAATTTGAGGCTATAGTGAGCTACAATTATGCCACTGTACTCCATCCTGGGTGACAGAGAGGAGACCCAGTAGCTAAAAAAAATATATTAATTAAAATTAAAAACTAAATGCAATGCCTGATTCTGGATGGGACCCGGCGGCAGTGGGGGGGTGGGTTGGGAGGTAGTGCTATATGGAACAAATTTGTGAAACTTAAATAAGGTCTACAGATTTTAAAATATCATACAAATGTTTACTTACTAAGAAATATCACAAAGCAGAACAAGAGTAATTGTCAAATGAGTGACAGATAGAGTAGTACTAGAAATTTAGAGGCAAAAATGATCAAGCAAGAGCGGTCTTAGTGAAAGCAAAAAAAATTTGACGTGGGTCTTGAAATCTAAGCAGAAACTGGGTAGGTAGAAAAGAGAAAAAAGAAAATTCCAAACTGGTAGAATATTTGTGGATAAATGACTGAGTAATGGAAACTGACTAGATAGTCTATTAACACAGGAGAGTAAAATTAAGACTAGAAGGAAGGTTGGGGCCAAATTATGGAATTCTAACCCAAAGAAAGTAGGATTTTGTACTATAGGCTACAGCCAACCATGAAATAATTGTGACATAGTATTAGGATAACAAATAACTTACCCATTTCTGTCTAAAATCTAAGTTGACACTTCCTTTAAAAAACAAAACAAAACCAAAACAAAAAACCTTTCCTTTTGCACTAACAGATCTTCTGATTCCCTCATTTAAGTACTGATTCAGGCCACACTGCACAGCATCTAAGAGCAAACATTCATTTAGTGCTTACTGTGGGTTAGGTAAGACAGAGAAGCTGACTCAGGGCAGGGGCATTTAATTCAACACCATCTGCATCTATTATTATTATTATTGGTCAAGCTGAAATTAGTTTACTTTTAGAGTATATCTCTTTTCCCTACCAAATATAAAAATGTAAACTTTTGCTGATAAACTTCACTAAGTGTAAGGACAGATTTTGTAAATTAGTATTGATTTGTCAACACTAGAAGTTTTCATTAAGAATTTTAATTCAGAATCATATCATGATCACATCTGGAAGTGTTTTTAGTTGCACATAAGCCAACTTATACTAAAATTCTACAAGGTCAAGTTTATAAATGTCAAATTATAATCTAAGAGGCAAACTTTGTAAAGTCTGCATGAATCATCTTTGTTGAGAAACCTTCACTTTATTTCCAACAAAACAATCAAATTACCTCAACACCTAATATACAAAAAGATCTCAAATCAAAGCTCTTTGGATGAATATAGAACAAAATGGCAATGTACTACAAATGACTAAGAGTTGAATATGTATAATTTCTAAAACCATATGGTATAGTAATAGGAAGAACCGTAATATTAAAGGGACTCCATAATCTTAGCATTTCATGAGTATCTGATGCAAAGAACATTTCTATAGATTCATTACTAACTTGTAACTCTACCTAATAACACTTCTTTATTGTGAAAAACTTAGACGAATTCTCCATCTCTGTTTATCCTAACAGGGAGAAAGAACAAATACAGCAAGCCATTCAGTAGTTGTTGACAAACTACTGCCCACAAGCCAAATTTGATCTCATCACCATCCCTTAGGTGTGTGGTGAGGGAACAATGATTTTTTTTTGTTTTTTTTGGAGACAGTCTTGCTTTGTCGCCCAGACTGGAGTGCAATGGCACGATCTCAGCTCACTGCAACCTCCACCTCCCAGCTTCAAGCAATTCTCCTGCCTCAGCCTCCTGAGTGGCTCGGATTACAGGTGTGAGCCACTATGCCCAGCTAATTTTTATTTGTTTGTTTGTTTGTTTGTTTTAGTAGAGATGGAGTATTGCCATGATGGCCAGGCTGGTCTCAAACTCCCAACTTCAGATGATCCACCTGCCTCAGCCTCCCAAGGTGCTGGGATTACAGGCATCAGCCACTGCACCGGGCCTACATTTTAAATAGCTGAAAAAATTAACTAAAGAAACAACAGCTACTCGGGATCTATAAACATTGTATGAAATTCAATGTTTATAGATCCCGAGTAGCTGTTGTTTCTTTTTTAAATAGCTGAAAAAATTAACTAAAGAAACAACAGCTACTCGGGATCTATAAACATTGTATGAAATTCAGTGTTCATAAATATAATTTTGTTAGAACATAGCCCTGGCCCATTCTTTCGGGTACTGTTGATGGCTATTTTACAAAAACAGCAGAGTGGAACAGTTCCACTGGAGCTGTATGGTCCACAAAGCCTAAAATATTTATCATCTGTCCCTTTCCAGAAAAGGTTTGCCAACCCTTGCCATATACCTCAGCAGAAAGAGATTAAGGTATAGGTACTAAAATCAGTCCAACCTGGGTTCAAAACCTGTCTTTGCCACTGACTGCTTATATAGCTTGTCAAAAGTCATCTAATGGTTCTAAAACTAAAACTTCTAATTTTTTTTTAAAGAAAGATAGGCCAGATTTGGTGGCTTATACCTGCAATTCCAGCACTTTGGGAGGCCAAGGCAGGAGGATCGCTTGAGCCCAGGAGTTTGAGACCAGCCTGGGCAACAGAGCAAGACTGTCTCTATTAAAAAGTTAGCCAGGTGTAGTGGCATGTGCCTGCAGTCCTAGCTATTTGAGGGCTGAGGTGGGAGGATTCCCCGAACCCAGGAGTTTAAGGTGTAATGGGCTATGATTGTGCCACTATGTCCCAGCCTGTACAAAAGAGTGAGACTACATCATTTGGGGGGAAAAAAAAGATAAGTTATCTTATAAAGGAATAAATACGTAGAGTACTTAGCACTATACCTTATAGTAAGCACTAAATAATTAGGCAATGGTGTTGTATTTTCATTATTATTATCACTATAGTTACTATAGTTACTGGGGATTCTTTGCCCATCCAACTGTTGAAGTCCAGGCCTTTTTATGTCTATACATGTGGCATGAAAATATAATATCAATTAATCTCTTCTGGTTTTTCCCCCCCTCTTTATGTTCAGGCAACTGCAAAACACATCAAAACATGCAGGGAAAAAAAAACTTCTATTAAAAAAAGAGGGTGTCTATAAAGTCTGAAAAAATAAATAAGTATATTAAAGGCTCTTAATCTGTGATTCCAGACTAGCCACCTTGTATAAGTGCTTCCATAATGATGTTCTTCACTGTACTACAAATAAAATCTATATAAAGTTCATGTGAACTTCGTTATATTAACTTTAGTTACAGCTATGTCAATATACTTTGCTTAAAAATGACAAACCAAATTTATTCAAGTTCAGAAAAACTCTATCATAGTGTATTCAGCATGAATTCAAAATGTTTTTATTTCAGATCCTCTGATAAACAAAAAACGGGCTACCACAGATGGAAAGATAAACTATGTCTCCTGGACCATGAGGGTAAAAAACCAAACTTACCTTCATATATTTATGGAAAATGTTAAGTTTTATTTTAACTGCTAAATAATAATTACATATTTATGGGATACAATATGATGTTTCATACACGTATATACTATAGAATGGCCAAATCAGGCCAACTGACATATCCATCAAACCTCAAATACTTCTTTATGATGAGAACATTTAACATTCACTATTTTATTCTATTTTGAAACAAGTAATACATTATTATTATCATAATAATTATTATTATCATTGTTAGGGTCCCCCCAGGGTGGAGTACAATCACTACTCAACGCAGCCTCAATCGCCTGGGCTCAAGCAAGCCTCAGGCCTCAGCCTCCTAAGCAGTCAGGACTACAGGCATGCACCACACCAGGCTATTTTTAAAATTTTTTTGTAGAGATGGGGTCTTGCTACATTCCCCAGGTGTAATAACTAATACTGAGTGTCAACTTGATTGGATTGAAGGATGTAAAGTATTGCTCCTGGATGTGTCTGTGAGGGTGGTGCCAAAGGAGATTAACATTTGAGTGGATGGACTGGGAAAGGCAGACCCACCCTCAATCAAGTGGGCACAATCTAATCAGCTACCAGTGTGGCTAGAATAAAAGCAGGCAGAAGAACATGGGAAGACTAGACTGGTATAGCCTTTTGGCCTCTATCTTTCTCCTGTGCTAGATGTTTCCTGCCCTCAAACATCAGACTCCAAGTTCTTCAGCTTTGGGACTTGGACTGGCCTCCTTGCTCCTTAGCTTGCAGATGGTCTATTGTGGGACTTCACCTTATGATGGTGTGAGTCAATACTCCTTAATAAACTCCCCTTTATATATACATGTATCCTATTAGTTCTGTCCCTCTAGAGAACACTGACTAATACACCAGGCTAGTTCAATCTTTCCACCTTGGCCACAAGCAATCCTTCCACCTTGGCCTCCCAAATCACTGAGAATACAGGCATGAGTCACTGCACCTGGCCTACAATATCTTATTATTAACTACAGACGCTATGCTGTGCAATAGATCACCAGAATCTCTCTTGTGCAAATGAACTTTGTATAGTTTGACCAATGCCTCCCCTTTCCCTGTCTACACATCCCTTCAAGTCCCCCCACACCCTGCAACTGTCATTCTACTTCTTTTTTTTTTTTTTTGAGACAGAGTCTACGCAGGCTGGAGTGCAGCAGTGCCATCTCGGCTCACTGCAACCTCGGCCTGCTGAGTTCAAGTGAGTCTCCTGCCTCAGCCTCCAGAGTATTTAGGATTACAAGTGCACACCAACCACCACACCTAATTTTTTGTATTTTTAGTAGAGACAGGGTTCACCATGTTGGCCAGGCTGGTCTTGAACTCCTAGCCTCAAGTGACCTGCCTATCTAGGCCTCCCAAAGTGCTGGGATTACAGGCATGAGCCATCATGCCCAGTCTATTTTCTACTTCTGAGTTCAACTTTTTTTCAGATTCCACATATAAGTGAAATCATGTGGTATTTGTCTCTATGTGCCTGGCTTATCTCACTTCGCAGAATGTCTTCTAGGCTCATCCATGTTGTTGCAAATTATAGGATTTCTCCCTTTTCAAGGCTGAATACATTTTTCTTATCTATTCATCTACTGACGGGCACTTCTGTGGTTTCCATAACCTGGCTATTGTAAATGCTCCAATGAACACGAGAGTGCAGGCATCTCTTTGCATAATGATTTCAATTCCTTTGGATATATGCTCAGAAGTGGGACTGCTTCATCACAGAAAGCGTTATCATACTTTTAACTTTTTAAAGTTCTAGAAGTCTTATGTTCAACTTCCTAAATCAAGTTAAAAATTTGCATACACTAAGCCTAGCTCTGTGAACTTGGGCAAGTTAATTAACCCATGCCTTAATTTCCACTTCTATAAAATGAGGGTAATAACGCTAACTCCTTCATAGCTTACTATGAAGATTAAATGAGCCATAAAGAACATCAAACAGAATCTGATACAGAGTGATGCTTCATAAATTAGTTATCATTATATATTTATATAATAGCTAGATTTTGATGGTAATGTTTTCAGAGTTGTAATTCCCAGCTAGCATGCAGCCAAAAAATTTTTTTGAAAATTAGCACAGTTCACACAATCTTCAGAAATTCGACCTGACTGATGGAAATCAGAATACAGGTTTCCTTCACTTAAAAGTCCTATACTTCTGTCACATTACTGTTGTAGACAACAATTAGGAGATGCAATTCACTTAATTTCTCAGAGTCATCCTTAGGAGAATACAGCAGGCAGCCCATGGAGAGAACAGGGAAAGTGGAAAACACTTGGAATCAACTGTGCTCTAGGTGGGCTCTGATTTCCTGCCTATTCCCCATACCGTCCCCTGGAAAGCACTGGAAATTTCAGTCCTTTGCTTTACGTTCTTTCTCCCACGAAAGATTCAACAGAGGGCATGCCAAGACTATGAGTATCTGCAAAAACTCTTTAAAAATGCCAAAAAAGATTTAAAACATTCCTTCAGATATGAATTTAGAATTGTTATGATATTTAGTGTCAAACTGCAGAACTTGAGGATTACTGTCTCTATGAAGAAAGTTTGTTAAGTCTGAATTACTGCCAGAATTTACAAAACTATCTTTTCAACTGGAGAAATTGAGTTCAAGCCAAAAGAGAGCTTTTGATCTCAATGACCAGCAAATAAGAAATCGGCATTCATCGAATTCAACATGCCTGACAACCAAATACATGACAACCTCAAATTAACATTTATCCATATAAGCATTTATACCAAATTATAAAAGACTGCTATCTACAGGTTGTAGGTCATATGTAGAGCAAGGCTATAATTTTTGTTGAAATTCTTTTTCCCATGTCTACACAATACTGTTATTTACATTCTAAATCTTAGCAACCTTATTTACTCAGCCATTGTTCATCTCATTAAAGAATGATCCAATGTCAAAATTGTTTTTTAAGACTGGCATAAATGATACTTCATATACTTATCACTTTAAAGTAAATGGTCTCTTTCCATGCTTCCACAATAGCCCACAGATCACTTTCATTTCCCTGGTACATTTACCATCTCACTAGTAAATTACGACTTTGACTTTGTGTAAGGCTTGGGTTCCTCCTCTTGCTTACCCATTCACTCTCCCAAAAGGTTACCCTCTTTTCCAACCTTTTTCACTATTGCCATTTGTAATGCTTATTTTCAAATAAACTGCTCTAGACCCTTCACAGAACCTCAATTTACCTTTTCGCTCTAATTGAAACCAGCTTTCCCACAGGACACCACTTCCATTACAACTGGGTCAAAAGGGCAACTATTCTTTCTCATATACCTCTCATATAGAAAACAGGGAGCTAACAGCATTTTCCTGTGTTCTTTCTATTGCTGCATACATATGACTACTCCAAATGCCTCCTAAGAAACCTTCCTTCTTTATAACTAGCACCTAACAACTAACCTAATTATTAATCGTTATCATCAATCAACTTCTCAGTCACTCTTCAACTTACTTATAAAGTTTTGATCTTACTATCTAACTTACCTTTCCAACCACCTTTAGCATGGGCGACTTCCAGATCCACGTGAATATCCTAGCTGCTCTCCTCCTTAAGGAGTGAAGAGATAGCCACTACTCAGTTGAATAATTCACCTCTATAACCACTCACTTTATCATCCCCAGCAATTATTCATCTGAAATCTTAAAACTCTTTATCTTGGCCCATAACCAGAAGTTCTTACCCTTTGTCTCTTTCACTCCTATTTCCCATCCCAATTCACTCTTTAGCTTCATGGAAACTTTTGGTGTTAATATTCTTCCACTTCTCCCCACCTATCAGCCTTGTCTTGGCTTCAATTTGTTCCCTCTCCAGCCTAAACCCCCAAGACATATCACTTCAACCACTCTCACTGCAATACTTTAAACTTTTGGCCCCTGGGTCTTCCCACACCACTTTTCTTTGTCAAGTCCTGTCTCCACCAATACCAGAACGTTTTGACTGCTCAGATTTTCTGTTTCTATACAGTGGCTGCTGAGTACTGGAGAGACAGACAGAGGGAAGGAATGAGAATATATACACACAACAGACCACCATAAAAACCCATGGTCATCAAACTCATTTTTGTCTCTCTGTATTTTCCAAGTGAACTCCAATTCCCATTGCCCCAGTAACTATTCCAAATTCCCATAACACTCTTCCAGCTTTCAATTTTCCAGTTTTCTACCTCATACTTCCCAGAATGTGTCCTCATTTCCTCTTTCAAAGAGAAAATAGCAGACTTCAGGAAGAAATATTCCTCCCCAAATTAGCATCCTTACCACTTTTTCATTTTTTAAAAATTTTCCTTCTTTTTTTTAGGTCTATCTTGCCCAGGCTGGTCTTGAACTCCTGGCCTCAAGCAATCCTCCCACCTTGGTCTTCCAAAGTGCTGGGATTACAGGTGTGAGCCACCACAACCAGCCCCTCCCCATTCATTAAAACAGGTGCCTCTTGAGTTAAACACCAAGCCTTCTCCCGGTGCTCTAGAGTGTCTCCCCTATTTCTATCTTACTTTTTCATTAAAAATTTTTGAGTATTTGTTCAAGTAGACACTTGAAATATTTCTTTGCAAACAGAGCTCTTATCACCTCCTGCCAATAGATGACTTGTGATTTTTATTGCCTATATCTACCTTTTTGGGGAGTTATTTTTCTCTACGAACATCAATTTTTCTATTAAAAATAAAAGATGGCTGGCAGCATGGTGGCTCATGCCTGTAAACCCAGTATTTCGGGAAGCTGAGGCAAGCAGATCGCTTGAGCCCACATAGTTGGAGACCAGCCTGGCCATATGGCTAAATCTCGTCTCTACAAAAAAATACAAAAATTAGCCAGGAGTGGTGGTGCATGCCTGTGGTCCCAACCACTCGGGAATCAGAGGTGAGAGGATCGCCTGATCCTCGGAGGTCAAAGCCACAAAGAGCAGTGATCTCACCACTGCACTTCCAACCTGGGTGACAGAAATCGTGTCTCAAAAAATAAAGACACGATTTACTTCCCTAAGCCAACATTTACTTTGATTCCTTGCATGGCTTTTCATTTTTGCAGGGCTCTTCTACTGTATTTATTCTATGAGGCTATAAAAACACTGAACAGAAGTGAAATTTACTTTTTCAAAGTAGGGGGCGCTCTTATACTAATCTCCTATTATAAAGAATGAGACTTCCCTTCTCTTTCCCGCAGTAGAGGGCAGGGTGGAGACAGGGTAGTTACTGTATTAGGTATTACAGAAAACTCCCAGTCTCCTTTCCACAAACTCAAGCCACAAACTCTTGCAGGGGTAGAGGGGGAAGGGATGTTACTAATTTGGTGGGTTAGCTTTCCTTGGACCTTATTTTTAACAAGAAGGAAATTAGGTTACTGCATAGAGAACAAGGCCATCTTTCCCTTTCTCACTTCAGCTCTTGTTAGGCTGATAACTAGGTACATAAAGTAAGCCTCTAATCTTCTCACTAGTTGCCAGATTAAGTGTATTCAGAGTAGCCATGGCAGAATGAATTCCCCTACAGTCTCACAGTCTGGATTCACTGGTGACTGCAGCAGACTCTCAACTTATCCTTAGATCCATGTTATGGTCTCAAATTCTGCTGATATCAGAGAGCCTAAATTTTAGAAACAGACCAGAGTACTGGCCTTATGCTGTGTCCTTTATCTCTCAGAACCTGGAGAGAGAAGGGCTAAATGACTGGCACTCCTAACTTCAATACTTACTATAAGCAAGTGTCAATAGATCATTATCGTCATTAAGCACATATTAAGTGCTAATACTTTTATATGTCCTTTTAATCTAATCTTGCAAGGTAATTATTCTTATCCAAATTCATTAATAAATGAATGTGTTAATTCACTCATTAAAGACTGAATGAATGCTAAGGCTCAGAGAGGTATCTGACCAAGCTTCCAAAGCTAGTAAATTTTACAAACAAGGGTAAATCTCCAACCTTTCTGATTCCAAAATTCTCAGTTAATGACCATATTCAATTCGATGAGAATAAAATACTCCACCTAAGTTTAGTCAATGTATAGTATGGAAGTATGACCAATATTTAAACAATCATCAAAGATATATATTTGTCTGCAATGAAAAAGGAGTAACTGTTCCTATAACATTTGGTTAATGAAGTACTAGGTTCTACAGGGAATTCAGTTACTGAAAAATAATTAACTTTAATAAAACTTGGTGCAATAAAGATTGGAGAAAAAATCTCCAATAACCTGATGCCCCATTTCCGTCCAGGCTTCCTGTAGTAAATATGTAATGTTGCAATAAAGCTCCTTGAAAAATGAGTCATCCTGAACCAAACATAATCAACAAGATAATGATTAACCAAAAGCTGGCAAAAATCCTAACAGAGTAATATAATTCAAATTCAGCCTCTTAAAAGATAACTCATGTTTAACACTGGTATCTCAGAAATGTAAGGCAATAATTGGGTTCATGGAATGGTCTATACATTGGCACAAGTATACAAAAATGTACATTTTGAATTTTCCTCTGTCTTGAATTTTTATACTCACCATCATTTACACACAAAACCTAACAAATGGACTTTACAGTGTCAGATCTACATTTCTCACTTTATACAAAACTCTGAAAAATTATTTACTAATGTTTACTAAAATCAACGTATTTTTGCTTATTTTAGTATGGCATAAAAACAGTATGCTACATTAGACATTATAATACTATGAATACTGTATCCTTAAAAAGTAATAATGTACTCTCTTTCACACAAAATTAGTTAACAGTCAGGTAAGGCATATGCTCTAATGTTTTATCTCATAGCATGATGAAGTTATCATATACCCTCTTAGGATGAAAGAAATCTACCAAATGACTAAAGCAAGTTAGGAAAAATACATTCGATGGCCACAAAACAAGGCCAAGTTAACTGGATCCTAAAGATATAAACCCATAATTCTGACCTAAAAGAATAGCTTCTGTAAACAATGAGCTAGCTAATCATGCAAGTACTTTGAAAGAACTAATAATTTTATAATGTAATACTGATTACTCAATTTGGATATAAAGCAAAGTCTGTGCCAAACAATGTTGTTTGTTACTGTTTACAAGGATATTTATAAGAAAAAAATTAACTTTTAACTCTTATCTTACACCATATACAGAAATTAATCTGAGGTAGATCATAGACCTAAAAGCCAAAGCCCTAAGGAACAAATGATAAATCAGAACATAAAGATTAAAAATCCCTGCTCACTCCTGTAATCCCAGCATTTTGGGAGCTGAGACTAGTGGATCGCTTGAGCCCAGGAGTTCAAGACCAGAATGGGCAACATGGTGAAAATCCCATCTCTACAAAAAATACAAAGATTAGCTGGCCATGGTAGTGCACATCTGTAGTCCTAGCTACTTGGTAGGCTGAGGCAAGAGGATCTACTGAGCCCAAGAGGCAGAGGCTGTGGTCAGCTGAGATCACATGAGCTACTGCACTCCAGCCTGGGCAACAGAGCAAGACCTTGTCTTAAGAAAATAAAGAAATAAAAAGATAATTTAAAAGTCCTACTCAACCAAAAGATATTATTAACAAAATAACGGGGCAAGCCACAATGCAGGGGAAAATATTCACAGAATATTTTCTTTTTTTTTTTTGAGATGGAGTTTCACTCTTGTTACCCAGGCTGGAGTGCAATGGCGCAATCTCGGCTCACCACAACCTCCGCCTCCTGGGTTCAGGCAATTCTCCTGCCTCAACCTCCTGAGTAGCTGGGATTACTGGCACGCGCCACCATGCCCAGCTAATGTTTTGTATTTTTAGTAGAGATAGGGTTTCACCATGTTGACCAGGATGGTCTTGATCTCTTGACCTCGTGATCCACCCGCCTTGGCCTCCCAAAGTGCTGGGATTATAGGCTTGAGCCACCGCGCCCGGCCACAGAATATTTTCTAACAAAAAATTTGTATCCACAGTACAAGTCAACAATAATATAAATTATCTGTGCAAAAAATAAAAAAGAGAAATGAAAAATAAAGATCTAGATTCAGGACTAGATTTTAAAAAAGAAATATAAAGAAAATAATTGAAAAATATACAAATATACTTTGCCTAATCTTATTTAAAAGGACTTGATTTCCTTAACCAAACATCACAGGATATCCCCCTTTCAAACAAACCATTAACATTACACATTAAAAGTTTACAATAACTAATCTTTTTGAGTATATTTATATAGGCTGTAAAAACAATGATTAATAAAATTTAAAATGAGCAAACATGAATTACCCTAAAATGGTAAAAGGGAAATTCTACAACTATTTCACAATAAAGTAATATTAACACACTTTAAAATAAGACTGCAGGTCAGGCACATTGTCTCAGGCCTGTAATCCCAGCACTTTAGGAGGCCAAAGGGAGAGGGATCACTTAAGCCCAGGAGTTCAAGACAGTACAGGCAACATAGTGAGATCCCATCGTTACAAAAAATAAAAATCCTAGCTGGGTATGGTGGTACATGCCTGTACTCCCAGCTACGCAGGAGTCTGAAGCAGGAAGACTGCTTGAGCCCAGGAAGTCAGGACTGCAGTAAGACATGTTTATGCTGCTGTACTCCATGCAATCCAGCCTAGGTTGACATACCAAGATCCCACTTCATTAAAAAAAGGAAAGTGGGGGGGAGGAGAACAACTATAATGACAAAAGTGAAACCTTTAAAGCAAAATACATCAACAATGTCTCTTTAAGAAATCTCAGAAATGAAAAAGGTCAAAACTTAAAGGAATTTAAATCATTTTCGGTCTCATTATAGCAGATTGGGTTTGGCCCTAAGAAATAAAATTGCAACAGGAACTTCTTTGCTAAGAAATTTTCCACTGTCAGCCTAAACAATTACACAGCAGACACAGCAGACTAAATGCTTTTCCTTTTTATTCTTCATCTCAAAACCACCTTCTTCTAAGTTTTCCTTCAGTAGAACTGCATGCACATTTTGTAGTATAGGCGAGTCAGTTCTGAAAAACGCATCATAGGCAATTTCTTTGTGTAAAATCACAGAATCTACTTACACAAATGGGATAGCCTACTGCACACCTAGGTTATACAGTATAACCTATTGCTCCTAGGCTACCAACTTGTAAAGCATATTACTGTGCTGAATACTGTAGGCAATGGTAACACAGTGGTATATCTATCTAAACACAGGAAAGGTACAGTAAAATATGGTATTAAAATTTTATGGAAGTACCCTCATATGTGGTATATGACTGTTATTTACTATGAAGCGTACTGTACTGCAGCTAAAGACTAAGATTTGGCTAAATGGAGCCAACCAACCAAACATGTTAATTTCCACTGCCTCCCTGACATGCCCTATACTATCTCAGAGCCTGCAAAGCAGTTTCACAACGGCTGAGTTTTACCAATCACTCCCCCAGATTAGCAAAACCCTAAATGCTTTTTACAGATGCACCAAGAATCTCAGGGTCTCTACATAAAGACCACAGAAAAGTTAAAATCATGATAGTGGAATCAATTGTTCTGAAAACTCAGAGAAGAGCAACTGCTTCATTTCTCACAGTCTTTCTGGGTTTTTGAATCCTAGTGGGAGACAGTTATTATAGCAAAATGCATTCATATTTTAATGTCTGGGGCTTTCAAATGACGCTCACCTATTTCTCATCTAGCTCTTCGTACTGCAATCAAAGAAGCAGAAGATGACCAAGATTTTTATCATAAAAGCACTCTAGTATTTGAGGGACTGGAATGGTCAGAATATGGTCTTTTAAAAAGAAAACAGTCGGCCACACATAGTGGCTCATGCCTGTAATCCTAATACTTTGGGAGGCTGAGGTGGGTGGATCATTTGAGGTCAGGAGTTCAAGATCAGCCTGGCCAACATGGTGAAACCCTGTCTCTACTAAAAATACAAACATTAGCCAGGTATGTTAGTGGTTGCCTGTAATCCCAGCTACTTGGGAGGCTGAGGCAGGAGAATCGCTTGAACCTGGGAGGCAAAGGTTGCAGTTGAGTGCCACTGTACTCCAGCATGGGCAACAGAGCAAGACTACACCAAGAAAGAAAGAAAGAAATGAAAAAAGAGAGAGAGAGAGAAAGAGAGAAAGTGAGGGAGTGAGGGAGATAGGTAAGACCCAGACTCTTGGTGAAATGTGAAATGATATTCAAAACTAGGTGTTTTTTTTTTTTTAGATGGAGTCTCACCCTGTCGCCCAGTCTGGAGTGCAATGGTGCAATCTTGGCTCAATGCAAGCTCTGACTCCCAGGTTCGAATGATTCTCCTGCCTCAGCCACCCCAAGCAGCCAGGATTACAGGTGCCTGATATCACGCCTGGCTAATTTTTGTATTTTTAGTAGAGACAGGGTTTCACCATGTTGGCCAGGCTGGTCTTGAACACCTCACCTCCTGATCTGCCTGCCTTGGCCTCCCGAAGTGAGTTTTTGGGTTTTTTTTTTTTTTCCGAGATGAAGTTTCTCTCTTGTTGCCTAAGCTGGAGTGCAATGGTGTGACCTCAGCTTACTGCAACCTTTACCTCCTGGATGCAAGCGATTTTCCTGCCTCAGCCTCCAGGGTAGCTGAGATTACAGGCATGCGCCACCATGCCTGGCTAACTTGTACGATTACAGGCATGAGCCACCGCACCAGGCAAATCTAGGGATTTTTAAAATTCAATTTGAGATAGTGATAAAACGTAAACAAGTGGCAATGGCAAAGAGAACTGAGTATAATACAAGTAGGTAAATGAAAAGAGCATAAAATTAAATCAATATTAAACAATGTAAACAGACACAATTTGGGGTGGCTATCTAAATCATAATTCCCCAAGGTGACCATGTCTGCGCAACCCTATCCTTCATTTGGGAAACTATCCACTCTCCCTCTTATTTTTCTAAACATTGGTTCTAAATGAGAACTCTTTATCTTCTACATGACCTGCCCTTTCAACACATAATGATTAACAGTGGGATGAAATTTTGATGTAACGGGACCAAAGTCCTGCCTCAGAATTTCTCAAACTAGTGTTGAGAGAAGCAAACTTTGAGGCTGTTGTTCCAGAGCTACTGGCAGCCATGACCACTGCTGCTGAGGAAAGATCATTTCAAAGAATAAAGCCAACATGTAGGGAGAAATGGAAGAGACAGAGTTCTAAAGATAATGTATATCTTACCCTCAATTATGTACATAATATATATTTTACTTTACATTAAGCATGACACACACTTCTCATGGTTATTTTAAGAATTTAAAAACATAACGACTATAAAGGCACTTTGTAAACTAACTTTATCAGGGCCTACTCTTCAACAAATGCAATCACTTTGTTTTTCAATTTAAAAAGTATGCACATATATAAAGTAGAAAAGGTAGATAATAAAATTCAATGTAAGATATGACTGCTAACCATAAAACAATGCAAAAGACCAGGGGCCAGCAAACCGGCTAGACAGCCAAATCTGATCTGCCAACTGTTTTTGTGTAGCGTGCACACAAAAAACAGTTTTTGCACTTTTTAATATTTGGGGAAAAATGAGTAAAAGAATATTTTGCAATATGTGAAAATTACATGAAGTTCAAGTTCAGCATCCATAAATAAGGCTTTATGGGAACACAAGCATACCCATTTGTTTACATATTGTTTATGGCTGCTTTCATGCTACAACAAAGCTAAGTAGCTGCCTTTACAGAAAGGTTGCCAACCCCTACACAAGATTATAAAGATATATACCAAAACAATTAAAATTAATTGTGTCACGAAGTAAGGATCATAAGTAATTTCATCTAGTATCTACCTTTCCAATGTCTGAGATGTGATATTACTTTTTATGAAAACAAAAAAAAATAGCTTCTATCTGATTTCCCTTCTTTCACTGTAGAGCTGATCCAATTCATCTAAGTCTTCTCCACAACAGTAAATAGTACTGCCAACTGATCAAGCTGAAAAACTATGAATGAATCCGTAATTCATTCCTTTTCTTCATCCCTTATGTCCATTCATCAAGCACATCCATAGGCCCCTCAAAATACACTCCAAACCCTACCAATTTCTTTTGCCACCACTACTCAAACTCCAGTCACAGTCATCTTTCACCACTACTCCTGCGAGACGCCCCTAACTATGACCTGACATTGTGGGAGGACTCATGCAGAGGAGGAAATGGGAGGGAAGGAACTTAAGGTCACAAAGAACAGAAGGTCTGGCAACAGAAGAGAATATAGATAAAACACACATACACACTAAAAATAGTCTAAAGCTTAAGTTCTATCATTCTGACATCTTTAATTCTTAAAATAATTTTTTCAAGGAATATGTCTGCTTTAACAAATCTTGTCTCTTTTCTGCC